GGCAGGGCTGGGCGAGGCAGGCGGCCGACTCCGCCAGGGTCTCATTAAAGGGCGTCTGGGCCCCCACCGGGGTCTCTCCTCCGTGTTTCCAGACCCTTTGTCTCCCTGCTGCCATGCCTTCCCACTCAAAGCTGTAACCACGGAAGTCACCAGCAGCTACCGGAGGATGAGCAGCCAGTGGTGCTGCCGCCAGTCTGGGGCATGTGGGAAACTCCCGTGCGCACGGCCACCGGCCTCCACCTCTGGAGCTTCCATCAGGCTTTGGGAAGGCTCTGTCCATGCCCTCTGTCCCGCTCTGCAGGGAGGAGAGGGGCCGGCTGCCGCGCCCAACGTCCTCCTCGGGGCCTCCTACAGCACGGGGCCAAACCTGCGCTCAGCAAGTGGGGTTCTCTGCCTGGCCAGAGGCACGAAGGGCCCGGCCCCAGGGCAAGAGGCCTCCAGCACCTCCGGCCTCAGCTGGAGCACGGGCGGAGCCCCCTTCCGCGGCTTCCATGCAAACAGCCCCGGCTTAGCAAGAGGTCTCACTCAGGGAACTGTCTGGGCCCCTCTTTACGTCCACCCTGCACTTTGGCCCCCACTGGGCCCACGAGGCAGACGGCAACCCGCAGCCCACTCCCCTTCGCGGCCCAGAGGCCGGCCTTGGAGCACCACATCCAGCTGGGCGAGGAATCCAAGTGGGACATGCGGAAGCGGGGGTGGGACGGCTCTTGGCCGGCATCCACGCCTGCCCCACCAGAAGAAAGGAGACGTAGGGGACACCCACCCTTTGCAAAGGACGGCCAAGAGGGCCAGCCGCGTCCTCCAGCCAGGTGAGGGAGGGGCTGCACAGGGCACCAGGGAGGCCGGCCGGGAGGGGGCAGGAGCACCCCACCACCACTCCCCCAGCCTCCTGCCCGGAGTCCCAGGGGTGTGTGGGCCTGCTAGCCGCAGCCGGTGCCACACGTTCCCTCGCAGGCCAGTCCAGAACAGCCCGAGCTCCCCTGCTGCTCCCTGGCCTCAGACCTGGCCGTGTGGCCCAGCCAGGACGGATGCGTGACCCCATGTGGCAGCTGACCGCAGCCTGGGGACCACGGAGGGGCCACGGGCCAGTAGCAGAGCCTCTGCTTGGCAAGCAGAAGGTCCCGGGCTCGGTCCCCGGCATCTCCAGTCCAAAGGGTCAGGTGGCCGGTCACGGGAAAGAACCTGGGGAGTCATCTGCGTAGGCAATACTGACCTTGACAGACCAAGGGCCTGATTTCGCATGAAGCAGCTTCACTTGGGATAGCAGTTATTTGGCAGAAGGGCCGTGGCTCGGTGGAGGGGTCTCTGCTTGGCAAGCAGAAGGTCCCCGGTTCAATCGCCGGCAGCATCTCCAGTTAAAAAGGATGAGGCAGGAGGTGAGGTGGAAGCCCTCTGCTTGAGACCCCGGAGAGCCACGGCCAGTCTGAGGAGACCACGACGACTCTGGCGGGCCGATTCAGGATAAGGCCGCTTCAGGTGTCCCGTCAAGTCCCTCCCTGCTCCCTGATGGTGCAGCACTCACTGGCTGGCATGAGCTTCGGAGGACCCCGCAGGCTGCCCTGTGAGACATCGCACAAGCCAGGCGCACTGGCCAGCAAGCAGCAGCCGGGACGGACTTCCAGCCCAACGTTCCAGGAAGCCAGGAGAGAGAGAGAGAGAGTCTCCCTCACTGGCAGTCCATTTATGCTTGGACTGGGCGCCAGCCAGATTTTATTTATTTATCATTACACTAGCAGAGGAGTTATACATGAATAAACCTTGGTCTTAAAGGTGCCACTGGAATGTTTTGGATTGCTAGCTATAGGGGGAGGGGGGAATGCGCAGATCTGTCCTCACAGAGGAGGGAGAGCTTGTACCTGAATAAAGCTTGGTCTTAAAGGTGCCACTGATTGCTAGCTATTGGGGGCGGCTTACAAATAAGGGCAGCACGTGCCAATAAAACAATAAAATCCCACATAAAAACAACCCTATTAACAATAATAAAGTGCTCAAAGATGTTATCAGTTTAGTCAAATCAAGATGGTGACCTATAAATATACCCCAAAACCCACATCAACGGCGTCAACTTTATACTGGGCCATCCCGTTACCCCGTTGTTACCACAGAATAGTTGTTGTTGGTGGTAGTGGCGGCTCCTAATTAAAAGCCTGGTGGAAGAGCTCCGTCTTGCAGGCCCTGCGGAACTGAGCCCCCCCCCCGCCCCCCCAAGGCTGCTGCGGCGGAGCAGGGCGGGTAGAAGTCAAAACAAACAAACAAACAAACATGTTGTCGAAGGCTTTCACGGCCGGAGTTCATTAGTTGCTGTAGATTTTCCGGGCTGTCTGGCCATGGTCAGGTCAGCTGTGACTGGCATCCTCAGAGGTATAGCACAGAAAGATGGAGCGCTCTCCGTGTCAAGGTGAGGAGAAAATGGTGAGAAGAAAATCACCTGCCTTCCATTTTTCTCCTCACCTTGACACAGAGAGCCCTCCATCTTTCTGTGCTATACCTCTGTAAACAGTACGCAATGGCAGTGTTCCAACAGATCCCTGCACTCCACGTGCTGCAAGACTATACGGTGCATGTGGTTTTGGTGGCCTTTGCAGCAGTCTTTACAGCCCCTGCCGCCTGCGCAGCAAACCTTGCTTCGTGACTGAGACCGCCTCAAGAAAGCAGCCCCCAAACATACAGGCAGGCCCCACTCGCCCTCCCCGCAGACCATGGCAGGCATGGACGGAACCACAAGGACCCCGGAAGAAGCACTCACCAGTTTGCTGGCTTTGGGGCCTTCTGAAGAATCTGGAGGGGAGAAAAGAGCACAAGAATGAAGCCCTTCAGAGGAGCCAGAGCTCCACAGACCTTCCCTCCTCCTGGTGCCCGGTCCTCACCCAGACCAGAGCCTGCCTTTCCTACGTCCTGGGAATACCCCTGGCGCTCCTCTTTAGCCCCGGGGGCCTCTTGGGGACGAGTGAAGCACAGGAGGCACGACCAAACTGGACAGGGAAGCCCAGGGCCCCGCTGCCCCTCGGCCCGCCTCGACCCCGACTGGCTTCCTCTCGCCGCAGGGAGACAGACGCTTCTGCCAGTGGTGGGTTCTTGAGCATTTATTTATCTAGTTGTTTATTTTATTATTTGTATTTATAGCCCGCCCATCCCGTGAGCGGGCGCAGGGCGGATAACATCATAAAACATACAATAAATACAATTAAAATCAAACAATGTAAACAATTTAAAATTAATAAACTTCAAAACACAGTCACACTTCTAACACATCAGTTGGCTGCGGGTTTCCTGGCGTATTATTTGGGTTGATAAGTGGATGGGTGACAACCACCACAGGGAGGCCGTATGGAGACGTCCAAGAGCTCTGTCTTACGGGCCCTGTGGAATTGAAGGAGATCCCGCATGGCCCTGATCTCAATGGGAAGCAGGTTCCACCAGGCAGGGGCCAGGGCAGAAAAGGCCCTGGCCCTGGCAGAGGCAAGACGGACATCCTTTGGGCCAGGGACCACCAGGAGATGTTGATCTACTGAGCGTAACGCTCTTCGGGGCATATATGGGAAGCTGCGGTCCCTGAGATATGTGGGTCCCAGGCCATATAAGGCTTTAAAGGTCTGTTGTTAAAGTTTCTATCCCTGCTTGTTTGAAAACGCAAAGGCTGCGCCGTAGGATGGAGGCTGATGGGTCTGCAGGGAGCCCCAGGAAGCTTCGAGAAGGGCCCTCCTGTTCTTGCAGCCGCCCACTCCCGGGTTCCCTGCCCCAGGTGGCTTTACAGGATGTGGCCCATGATGCCTGCTCAGGAAGGCTGGAAGCCCCTTTGAAAGGGTGGCGCTAAAGACTGCAGAGCCCCGGAGTCAGTCGTCGGGAACCCACCAAGGCCAGCCGACTGGGATTCCCACCCCACCTTTCCGGGCATCGCTTCCTTTCCCACTTCTGGCTGCCCAGCCTCTCCGTTGGCCCAGAAGCCCACCAGGGACTCCACCGAGCCCCACTTCACAGGAGAGGTGGGAGCGGGAGGTGGGGGGGCACGCTGCTGCGGGGAGGAAAGAGGAGAGCAGAGCTGCAGGCTTCCTGGCCAGGCCTCCCCGTGTTCCCTCCTGCTCCACCCAATCCGCTCCCTGCAGGCACCAGACCGGGCAGCTTCTGTCCTGGCCCCAAGCACATGTTGCTCACAGGGCACCATGGAGACCGGAGCTCCGGCCAGACTGCCCAGCACGCACTGCCTCACGCTTCAGGGGCTCCAGGCAGAGACCAGGGCACGGCTCCTACGTCCACCCCAAACGGACGTTCACGCACTGCACCACGAACAGCCACCTGCACCGGCTGCTCTAGCAAAGAGCCACACTGCAAAGGGTCCCAGCAAACAGCCAGCCATCAGGCCCTGACATCTCCCCCCCCATCAATTAGCCCAGTCGCTTCCTAAAAGCTCCCTGACCCAGGATCCAGCCCACCTCCTGTCCTCTTCCACCCTCACCCCCACCCACCTACCTAGATTCTTGGACCCTCCCGCTTCCCCCCACCCACCCACCCACTGGGACCCTCTTCTCAGTTGCTAATGTGGGACCACCAGAAGGGCTCAGCCTCTTTCTCACCCCCTGGGCCACACCCACCTGGGGGTCTAGTGCCCGCCCCTTCTGGCCTCCCCACCTGTAAGAGGTTCCCTATGGTATTCTGGACCGCGCCAGAATTCACGCTGGTTCAGAACTGCCAGCAACTCACCTTCAGGTCCATTCTTTTGAAGGGGTTCCTTACCCAAGATCGCCTCAAGGAAGTAGCCAAAGCAAGAGGCAGCAGTCTGAAACGGCCTGATGTAGCCCTGGCGGCTCCCTCCCCCTCGGCAGGAGAGCTAACATCACCCCCACCAATGCTCCCTCTAAGCTGTGGAGTCTTGTGTGCAAAAATTCTCCTTTGTGATCTCCCCCCCCCCACAAGAAGCAGTCTGGGGTAGTGATTAGTGACTGACTTGGAGGACCCAGGTTCATAAGAACATAAGAGATGCCAATGTTGGATCAGGCCAAAGGCCCATCCAGTCCAACACTCTGTATCACACAGTGGCCAGAAATACCAGTGCCATCAGGAGGTCCACCAGTGGGGCCAGGACATTAGAAGCCCTCCCACTGTTGACCCCCCCCCAGCACCAAGATGACAGAGCATCACTTGCCCCAGAGCCCCTATCTATACCTTGTGGCTAATAGCCACTGATGGACCTCTGTTCCATATGCTTATCTAATTCCCTTTTGAAGCCATCCATGCTTGTAGCTGCCACCACCTCCTGTGGCAGTGAATCCCATGTGTTAATCACTCTTTGGGTGAAGAAGGACTTCCTTGTATCCGTTCTAACCTGACCGCTCAGCAATTTCATTGAGTGCTAATCCTTCCCTGAGCTAAGACAAAAATCTGTGAGCCAGAGGCAAAAAAACTGCGAGCTGGCTCACACTGACTAAGCTTAGAGGGAACACTCCCCCCCCCCCCCCGAGCGGGTGCTCATCACCCGCACAGCTGGGGCAGGAGGAGGTGCCTGCTCTGGGCACCACTGGCATCTCCTGCCCCCAGACTGAAGCACCTGCCCAGGGGCCCTCTGAGGACCGCCGCTGCTCTCCCAGAGCGCAAGCCTGAGTGGGCCTCTGCCCTCCGGATCCTTACCTCTCTTGGGGACCTTGGAGGACGAGGACTCTGGCGTTTCTGGAGAGGTGGTGTCCGCGCCATCATCAAACACCTGGATCTGGGTAGAACGGAGGGAAGGCACACAACCATCAGCAAGGCCTCCGGGACGGGCCTCGTTCCTGTCCGCGGAAGCCTCCTCGGCACAGTTCCTGTCTTCCCCAGCCCAACAGGACCACTGCCCCCGTGCCTGAGGGGCAAGCACGCCCCGGCCCGGGCTCCCTCTGGACGCCCTCTGTGAAGCCCGCTCTCCGTTGCCCCGACAGCCACACCTGGTCCCCTTGGAGCACCGTCAGCTGCCGACGAGGGAGACCTTCCGGGGGAGACAGCCTCAGAGGCCGCGCCCTTGTGGACGCAGCGTCTCAAAGGCAACCCACACCAATGCCAGTCAATACCCAGGCTGGCCACGCCATCCCCCACTGGAAGCGCTGCGCCCAACGCATACTGCAAGCGTGGGCATTCATCCCCTTGGCAGTCACGTACCACCTGCCCCTCCCCCCCGCCAGAACCTCAGGAGAGAGGCCATCACACCGTCTGCACAACACGCCCATCCTGAAACCTATGTGGGGGGTTTTTTGGGGGGGTGGAGGGAGATGTCCCAAACCAGCGACTGAGGGCCACGGGTCCCTCCCCAGACAGCAACTCCAGGGGGGGCAGGTGAGCCGTGTCAGTCTGCTGCGGTGGGAGTCCAGAGGCACCTTCGGAGCTGACGGCATTTCCTCCAGCAGAAGCTCTCGTGCATCAGAGCTCAGGGTACGTCCACAGCAGGTAACGCGCCAGGTCACAAGCAGCAGAAAGGCGGGGGGGGGAGGAATGCCAAAGAGGCCCGCTGGAAACAATATCCAGCCAGAGTGGCCGAGGACCCCTCCCCATGAGCCTCCTTCTTGGCTCCCCTGCTTCCCAACAGCATCGAATCCGGGTCAAATAACTCCTAGGGAAGCGGCCCAAGAGAGAGGCCGTCAGCAGCCAGCCAGGAGATCTCCATCCAGATAGAGGAGAAGAGCTGCTCCAGCCCAGCAACGCCTGGAAATGCCTGACCCTTGTTTAGCAGATTCCTCCTGTCAGTTCAAGGAACTTCTAAGGCAGCTAATATATATATATATATATATACATATATGAAATCACATCAGCTATTGAAAAGCTCGGGCAGCACTTGAAGCCTAAGAAGTAGCAGCGCGCCCACGAGCCTCCCCCGGGAGGAGGAACCGGCAGAAGCCAGGCACCCACCCACCCAGAGCAGGCGCCCTCTCTGGGTGCGAGAGACACAGGGAGGGCGTAAAACAAACCTGACCCCAAAACTGGAATCAAGAACCACGAGGGTAAGGAAGACGTCTGGGCCAATATTAAAAACCTAGTGTGAACTTACGGTATGCAAAAATACAAGTATTTATTAGAAAGGCCGTTAAAAACAAACAAGGGCCCAATGAAAGCCTCGTTGCAAAGTTCTAGCGGCCTGAACACAAGGGCCAGGACAAGTGACCTGACGCATTTCCGCGCCTGCCTTGCCTCCCAAGGGCCCCAGGAGGCCTCGCCCAAGGGAGCAACAGGGCAATGACACATTGAACACCTACGAGCACGAGCAGCGAGAAGCAACTGGCTTTGCCCACCCTGCAAGGAGAGTGTGGGGAGAGAAGGTAGACCGATGCCAGAAGGAAGGGGGGCCCCCCAAAAGCCCCACCCTGCACACCATGGCAGGTTTTCCGCCAAGACCCCTGGCACAGGACACAAGGGGGGGGAGGGGGGAGGGAGACAGGAAACAGCAAACTCTCCGTGAGTCTACCAGACAGGGCAATTCGCACCCGAGAGGACACCGAGGCTGCCTTCCGTTGCTCGAGGCCACTGTGCACTGGAACCACGGCCTTCGGCTCAGTCTAGGAAGTGGGACCCCCTCAGTCACAATGGAAAGAAAGTGGGGCGAGAACAGTGGCAAGAAAGCAAGCCCAGCCCAGCATTGCCCAGGGCACGGCTCCCTTTGGTTTCGCCTCCCATGCCCAGGAAGAAGCAGAACCCACGGCTGCCCACTCCCCCCAGCTGCCAACAGCACTGCCATGGCAACGGGCCTCCCAAGCAGCACCAGAGAATTCAGCATCAGGAGGAGGAGGAAGAGGAGGAGGGAGCCCATGTTCCCACACCCCAAGGGGCCGCTGCAGAGCACAAGCCCACGGCATGATGGGGCCAGGCAGCCACCTCCGGCAGGCAACTGCGGGGTACGGTCGGGGGCGGGGAGGGGCAGGAGGCACCATTCACAGGATCTGTGGCTTGAGGGGTATAACTTATTTAAAAGGGACAGACAAATAAGGAAGGGCAGAGGAGGAGGAGGAGGAGGAGAATGAGAAGAAGAAGAGGAGGAGGAGGAGATTGGATTTATACGCCGCCCTTCACTCGGAGTCTCAGAGCGGTTTACCATCTCCTTTCCCTTCCCCTCCCCACAACAGACACCCTGTAAGGTAGGTGGGGCTGAGAGAGCTCTGACAGAAACTGCCCTTGAGAGAACAGCTCTGACAGAGCTACGGCTTGCCCAAGGTCATCCAGCAGCTGCAAGTGGAGGAGTAGGGAATCAAACCCAGTTATCCCAGATTTGTTGTTGTTCAGTCGCACAGTCGAGTCCGACTCTTCGCGACCCCATGGACAATCTCCCGCCAGGCTCTCCTGTCTAATCCCAGATTAGAGTAACCTTAACCACTACGCCAAACTGGTGTATATACTTGTGAGGAAATACGTGAATCTGAGCATGAAGGTCCAGTTGAGAGTCTCTGGGTAAAAATAAAAGGAGTAAGAAATACGGTAATACCGATATCATGGTGGGGGTCTGCTATAAACCACCAAGCCAGGGAGAAGATTTGGATGAGACACTCTTACATCAGATTACAAAGTTCTCAAAGAGAGTTCTCATGGGAAGTCTCATGGGAGATTTCAATTACTCGGATATCTGTCCGAAGCCCAACTCTGCTAAAAATGAAAGGTCCAATAAATCCCTGACTTGTCTTGCTGATGACTTCATTTTCCAGAAAGTAGAGAGGGACCTGATTCTTACCAAGAGGGAAGAACTGGTTGACGAGGTGAAATCAGTGGGCACCCTGGGTAGCAGCAACCATGCAATCTTGGAATCTGCAGTCCTGGGGAAGGTAAAAGCTGTACGCAGTCAGACATACAGGTTGGACTTCCAGAAAGCAAATTCTGACAAAGTTATGCTGCGTAGAATCCCATGGTCAGAATTAGTCAAGGAAAAGGGAGTTCAAGAAGGGTGGGAGTTTCTTAAAAGTGAAATACTGAAGGCACAATAAAAATGATTCATATCAGAAGGAAAAATGGGAGGAGCCTAAAGAAGCCAAGGTGGCTCCACAAACAGCTTTCTAAAGACCTGGGAAATAAAAAAGACTCGTTCAGAAAGTGGAAGGGGGGCCTCAGAACCAAGGATGAACATAAACAAATAACCAGGGCTTGCAGAGAGAGTTAGGAAAGCTAAAGCTCAGTGTGACCTTAGGCTAGTGAGAGAGGCAAAAAACAACAAAAAAGGGTCCTTTCCTTATGCTTGAAAAAAGAAAAAGAGCAAGGGCATGGTAGGCCCATTGCCGGGACAGGAAAGTGAAATTGTAACAGTTGATGAAGAGAGGGCAGAACTGCATGATTCCGACTTTTCCTCAGTCTTCTCTTGCAAGGGAGATGGTGCTCAACATGGCAAAAACAGAGCACATGATGAGGGAAGGGAGTTGCGGCCTAGGATCGGCACAGGGGTAGTACATAAACACCTAGTTTCTTTAAATGAAACAAAGTCTTCAGGGCCAGATGAACTGCATCCAAGGGTACTAAAAGAACTCGTGGATGTAATTTCTGAGCCTCTGTCCATTATTTTTGAGAATTTTTGAAGAATAGATG